GGAGGAGAACCAGTCTCAAGCTCAGTGGTGCTTTTTGGCCGTTGTTAATATCCCTTAAAACACTTTTCTAAAGGTTTAACTTGTGGAGGAAGACAAACTCTTTTTTAAATGTGGTGTATAGGAAAAAAGAAAAGTGACAAACCCACGAGTAACCCCCTGTACTGATGATGAAAAGTCAAACTGAAAATACCAACTCAATTATTCTTCTGTGCAATAGATCATCAGGAAATAATAATAATAGAAGAAGAAGAAGAAGAATAACAACAACTGCACCGTTCTGGATAGAATGGGTACATTATGTGGTTAAATATGGGTCAAATATGCTAAACATTCATGCATGTCTTTGATGGTTATGTTTGTAAGATGGTCAGCATTCAACATGCAACTTAATTGGTGCTGAGGTGGGGGGAGAAGCTTTTCTTTCATGGGCAAGAGGGAAAAGGTGTAGAAGCAGAGATGCCTTGCTCAGTGGATTCCCTGTGGCACTGCTAAAGGGAGGGATGTTTGATCTGGTGATTTTCAGAGAGAGGATTCCAAGCTGTAGCAATCGGGTGATGTTCAGAAGGAGAAGGGCTGCAGCCTGGTGGGTCTTTGTTTCTATGGTTACATTCGACTGGTATCGCTGTAATTGGGTCAGATTGGAAGGTGCGAATGAAAACAAAGGAATTGGGAATCAGTGAATGGGAGGAAAGTGTTGGTGTGAGGGAAAAGCAAGAAGGGAGCTGAATGTGGAACCAGGGATTTTAAGGTACAGCAGCCAAATGTGGCCAGAGGGACAGAAGAGGCCGTGGCAGCCGAAAGGGAGAGGCAGGAAAGAAAGGGAAACAAAAAGAAGCCCCCATCCTACCCAACTAGCAAGTCTCTGGGACCAGCCACTTGCCATTTTGTTCCCTTTCCCACATCTCTTAACCCCCTAGAGCAGGACCTGGAATTCTCACGTTGAACTACCTGCTGTCCTGGCCAGCTTGCCCATCTTGCTGCCCAGGATACACCCTCTGCCTGTCCCCCTGCCCCTCCCCAGCGTGATACAACCAGAAAATCCCTGTAAAGCTGCATTTATCCCATTTCCCTGCTGGGAAGGGAAGGGATTTCAACAGCTCCTGGCACCAGCATCTGCACCTTTAGGCATGCGGCTGCTTTTTAAGCAAGCCAAGATGATGAGGTCTATAGGGTGCCCTCAAATATGCTCAAAATAACCTTATCCCGTGCCTGGGGCTGTGTTTTACAGCCTCTCATTTATTACAGCCTCTCATTTATTACAGCCTGGCAAGGCACCAGGCAGCTGCCTGTTGCCAGAGCCCTCATTTTCCACCCCCAAACCCTAACGCCTAGAGCTAGGCGGGTGGCATCTCCGGGTCTGGCAGCCCCGGAGCACGGAGGGGCTGCCCGGGGCTC